TAACAGCAAATGTACAACGTTTCGACAAGGTTTTGTCATCATCAGGTCCAAATAATGTAAAAAAAAAAAATAATTACTTTTTTTATTCAAAATTCTAATGATCAAACTTAACATTGAAAGAGGTTGAATGTCAGCACCATCTGCAAAGAAAATATATAAAATGAAATTTGCTGATTGCATATATATTCAGCCCCTAGTTGGTGGGATCACCTTTGGCATCAATTACTGTTGTGAGTCGTTTTGGATAGGTCTCTACCAGCTTTGCACAATGGGATGGTATAATTTTTGCCCATTCTTCCTGAAAAAAACAAATTGTCCAATTCTGACAAATTCGTTGGAGATCGTTGATGGACAGCAATATTCAAGTCTCGCCATAAATTTTCCATGGATTCGAGTGAGGACTTTGACTGGGCCACTCCAGGACATTCACTTTCTTCTTTTGAAACTACTCCAGTGTGGCTATAGCCTTGTGCTTTGGGTCATTGTCCTGCTGAAATGGAATTTTTGACCCAGTTTTATATTCTTAGTTGACTCAAGCAGGTTTTCTTCTAGGATTAGCCTGTACTTTGAACCATCCAAGCTTCCCAGTCCCTGCTGATGAGAAGCATTCCCATAATATGATGCTGCCACCACTATGCTTGACGATTGAGATGGTGTTGAATGGGTGATATGCTGTGTTGGGCTTGCGCTAGAAGTAACGCTTTGAATTTAGACCAAAAAAAGCTCAGTTTTTGTCTCGTCTGACCAAAGAACCTTCTGCCACACGTCTGCAGTACAATTTACATGTTTCGTCGCAAACTTCATACGAGATTTAAGATTTTTTTTTTCAGTAATGGTTTCTTTCCTTCCATTCACCCATACAGGCCAGCTTTGTGTAGGGACCGGGATACTGTTGATGCATGAACATTGTCTCGCATTTCAAACACGGAACTGTGCAAATATTCTAAACTCACTGTTGGCTTCACAGTGTCATCCTTAATTAACCAGTTTTCTGTTTGCCCGACTGCTCAGTTTGGAAAGGCGGCCTGATCTGGGTAGCGAATGGGTGATATGAAGCACATTCCATTTCTTATTGATGAACTTCACCGTGCTCGAAAGGATTTGTTTGTTTGTTTTGAATTTCGCGCAAAGATACACGAGGGCTATTTGCGCTAGCCGTCCCTAATTTAGCAGTGTAAGACTAGAAGGAAGGCAGCTAGTCATCACCACCCACCGCCAACTCTTGGGCTACTCTTTTACCCACGAATAGTGGGATTGACCGTGACGCCCCCACGGCTGAAAGGGCGAGCATGTTTGGTGTGACGGGGATTCGAACCCGTCACCTTCAGATTGCGAGTCGAGCGCCTTAACCACCTGGCCATGCCGGGCCACTCGAAAGGATAATCAGCGACTTTGAAATTTTCTTGTAACCTTCTCCTGATCTCAGCTTCTCTTATCACTTTATCCTTGACTTGTTTTGAAAGCTTCTTGGTCATCATGGTTGATTTGTCGTATCACTATGTGAGTTTTGGCTTGAACAAATGCATTTACTCTGAAGTCAAGTTAAACCACTTTGATTACACACAGACAGAAACCATTACACTAATTTTGTGATCTAATATTTTGCACCTGAACTGGTTTAGGGTTGCCGTAGCAAAGTGGTTGAATACTTATGCAATTGAGAATATTCTAAATTTCTTTGAAAAATCTAACTTATTTACATAATATCTGCATTTTTTATCTTTCTCAGTTTGGGGTAGATTTTGCAGATTCTAAATATCAACATTTGAAAGTTTTATGGCAACAAAATGTGGAAACTTTGCAGGGGGTTGAATACTTCTTCAAAGCACTGTAAAAGACACAGCTCAAAATTATATATTATTTATTGAATACCAACTGTATGCTGTTAACATCTATGAATTTAAGCCGCAAGACTGCTGCAGTGTAGCACTAAAGCTTGTTATAAAAATAAACTGTTAACATGAAGAAACATTGTGTATTTTATTTTTTGTCAAGTGGAAATTTATTATTCTCTCAGTACGATTATGTATTGTATCAAGTAGCAATGTCATCAGACAGACAAAACTGATAAGAATTTTTTTTCAATAAAGTAAAAACTTTCAAACTTGGCCACGTGATTTTATACACATGGTTATAAATCATAATATGTAACAGAAAACTGCAATAAAAATAGTTAACATCTGAAAATAAATCAAATTCATAATTAGTTGGTCTATTTATAGTCTCTTCCGTTACGCGTTCGTGCAAAGCACCAAAATCGTCCTCAATTACGTTAGAAATTAAGCTTTTCAGATTGTTTGTTTGTTTTGAAATTCGCGCAAAGCTACAGGAGGGCTATCTGCGCTAGCCGTCCCTAATTTAGCAGTATAAGACTAGAGAGAAGGGCAGCTAGTCATT